TGGCCAGCCATGGGAGGTTGGCTGTGGGAGCGCACTGACCAACAGGGGGCAGCTCCTGCATTGAGCATCTGCCCCCTGGTGGTCAGTACGCATCATAGGTACTGGCCGGTCAACCTGTTGTAACAGTCACTTAGGCTTTTATATATATAGATGTCAGGGAGGACATCTCCAAATTATTGTCCAAATATGAGATGCTATGGGTGTTATTACTCCCCCAGAACTCAGGATTTGGAATTCCACCTATATTCGAAATGGAAACCCCAAAGTCCCATTTCCCTGAGCTGTGGCGGTTGCACGTGACCTTGTACTGCCCTTTTATTTCTTAAAGAATATTCAGGACTTTCTCTTACCTGTTCCTTTCCAATCCTGTGGCAGCAACACAATGGGAAGTGTAGCCACACCGGGGTCATAAAGTGTGAGTTGTAGAATTCTTCTCATGTTGGACCTCAGGCTGAATTAGCACAAGCGTGGTTGTCAGCCATCACACCACACTGGGCTCTCACAGACCCCACCTGGAATCTTGCACACACTTTTATATGCTGAATTTTAAAATGGTAACAACGCAAAAGAATGTGTAGGAGAAGATGAGAGAAACTAGGAAGTGGAATGTGAGGACCAGTGGGACCCCTGAGCCAGCAGCACCATCCTCCTCACCGGGGAGCTTGTTAAAAATGCGATCTCTTGGGCCCACCTCAGACCCACCGAATCTGACTTTCTGGGGTGGGGCCCAGGGAGCTGTGTTTTAACAAGCCCTTTAAGTGATTCTTTTATTTTAAAAACTGTTTTTATTGATTTTAGAGAGAGGAAAGGAGAGGGGGAGAGAGAGAGAGAGAGAAACATCAATGTGAGAAAGAAGCATCGGTCGATTGTCTCCTGACCAGTAATCAAACTGGCAACCTTTTAGGTGCATGGGACAATGCTCAACCAACTGAGCCACACCAGCCAGGGCTAAGTGATTCTTAAAAACACTGAAGTCTATTAAAGCTAAATATGCAGAAGTGGCAAAGCATAAGGAACAAAACAATGAGTCTCAGCTTAAAATTAAGGAATTGGACCACAACATCGGCAAACATAAACGGGAAGCTGAAGATGCTGCTGCAAAGGTATCCAAAATGTTGAAAGATTATGACTGGATTAATGCAGAGAAACACCTCTTTGGACTACCCAATAGTGCCTATGATTTCAAAACTAATAACCCAAAAGAAGCTGGTCAGAGACTTCAGAAGTTGCAAGAAATGAAGGAAAAACTAGGAAGAAATGTCAACATGAGAGCTATGAATGTACTAACAGAAGCAGAAGAGCGGTATAATGACTTGATGAAGAAGAAAAGAATTGTAGAAAATGACAAATCCAAAATAATTGCGACTCTAGAAGACCTTGACCAGAAGAAAAACCAAGCCCTGAACATTGCTTGGCAAAAGGTGAACAAGGACTTTGGGTCTATTTTTTCTACCCTTTTGCCTGGTGCTAATGCTATGCTTGCACCACCAGAGGGGCAAACCGTGTTGGACGGTCTGGAGTTCAAGGTTGCCTTAGGAAATACTTGGAAAGAAAACCTAACTGAACTTAGTGGTGGTCAGAGGTCTTTGGTGGCTTTGTCATTAATATTGTCCATGCTCCTCTTCAAACCTGCTCCAATTTACATCCTGGATGAGGTCGATGCAGCCTTGGATCTTTCTCACACCCAGAACATTGGGCAGATGCTGCGTACTCATTTCACACATTCTCAGTTCATTGTGGTGTCCCTAAAGGAAGGTATGTTCAACAATGCAAACGTCCTTTTCAAAACCAAGTTTGTGGATGGTGTTTCTACAGTAGCCAGATTTACTCAATGTCAGAATGGAAAGGTCCCAAAGGAAACCAAGGCCAAGGCAAAAGGACCCAAGTGATCACACGTGGAAGTTAAAAGTATGAATTCACTTTCTTTACCTTGACCTGCTTTTTAAACAGACTTTTTAAGAACCTGGGATTTATCTCGTTTGTTTATATAAAGATTTAATGTTTTTTATTACTTGATGCGTATTTTCTCTTCCCTTATATAATCACTTATAAATGAACATGATTTCTCTTAATTAGTTTAACTATGGTCCAATTACTGTGATTGTGATTTTATGCATGTCATCAATTATTTTTCTTACCCAAGTCTTGTAGATTAGGGAGCCTGAGATACCTGTTTGGTGGGAAATTCTGTTTGTAAAAGCAAAAATACAAAGAAACAGGTAAAATTAGATTATGGGATAAATATAGCTAATAATCAGCTTTTAGTTTAATTCCTAAGATAATATTAATGTATTTTCTATTGCTAATAAAGTCATTAGGTAAGGAAGAATTAAAAAGCAAGGAGCCGGACCAACAACGGGAACACTTTATAAATATTTCCGTAGGAGTTTAGGAGAAAGGTATGTTGCTTGCTGCTTTCTGGTGCAAGTTTATCTGGTCTCCCAATACTTCTGTCAGCCTTTTCATAATCTAATCAATAACAATCTATTGGTGGATGTGAATGTAGAAGCCAACACACCAAATAAAATTTACCTTTTTCTTCAGTCTAAACAAAAAAAAAAAAACACTGAAGTCTAACTTTGGAGTGACAAAAATGTTCTAGAACTAGATACTGGCGATAGCTGAACAACATTGTGAATGTACTAAATGCCCCTGAATTGTACACTTTAAAATGGTTAAAATGATGAGTTACAGTTTTACACAGATAGCTGAACAACATTGTGAATGTACTAAATGCCCCTGAATTGTACACTTTAAAATGGTTAAAATGATGAGTTACATGTTTTACACAATTTAGAGAAAATACACTAAAGTCATGAGAAGCACTGACACCAGGTGATTCCAAAACCTCGCCAATCAGAATCATCTGGGAAACCTTGTAAAGTCCATGGATCAGAACCTCGAGTTTGGGATCAGAATTTTCTTGTTTTCTTTCCTTTTCTTTTTTTCTTTAAATTCCCAAGTGGCTGTCATGACCAGTAATGTGTAGGAGCCACTGAAATAGAACAAAGAAAAGGAAGCTAACGGTTTTCAAATGATTAGAGACAGTCAGATAAAACAAGGAGCCCGTGTGTTCATCCTGCTCCAATGTGCAGAATGAAAACAACGGGCTGAAATGACCAGGGAGCCGATGTTAGCCTGAGAGCCCTCCTCTAACCAGAGCAACCAACACTAGAGAGGACTGTCTCCTGCGGTAGGGACTGTCCACCAGCTGGAGGGTGTAATGAGGCAGGATGCCTACCTGGGCTCCTGTGAGGATTCTGACAGCAGTGAAAAGTTAGAGGTGAACTCTATCGACCAGAGAGGTGAACTCAGGAGTCGCTCCCAACTTTCAGGTTCTGGGATCCTCACGGGGACTTCTCAGGTCTCGGTTTGGGACCAGGAGGTCCAAAGAGGGAACTTCTAGGTTTAGGTTTAACAGGGAGTTAAGTTTTTCTAGGTGTCACACCAGCACTGTCCAGCTGCTCTCTACAACTGTTATTATCAGTAGGATGTCCTGCAGTGACGACAGTGTTCTATATCTGCACTGTCCAGTGTGGCGCCCAGTAGCCTCCATGTGACTGTCCAGCAGCTGAAATGTGGCTGGTGCAACTGAGGAACTGAATTTTCCATTTCAATTATAATTCATTGTAATCGCCACATGTGACCGGTGGCTACCACATTGGACAGCCGTTCTAGAGAAGCCCTGGCCAGAACTGCGGCAGACTGGAGCCTTCCCCCTGGATCTGAACTAGCCCAGACCAACCTGCAGGAGCCAGGGTGGAGGCTGAGACCCAACAGGCCCCTCCCGCTCCCCGTGAATGCCAGAGCAAGAAGCGGGGAGCCAGTGGACGCTGAAGATTTCTGTTGCAGCAGCTTCTGTCTTAATTCTAAAAGGAATTATGGGAGACATTTGAGATTCCTGAGATAGGCGCCTTCCAGAGAGCTACCAGGGACCCCTAGAGAAAGAGGGTCCCATGCCCTGCCTCCCTCGGATGAGAGGCAGATAAAACGAGGGTGCGTTTTCTTTCTTTCCATGTTTCCTCTTGTTTTCCGCCTCCTTTGGAGCTGTAGGTAAACACGCAGTCACCATGGGAGAGATTCTGAAAGCTGGGGCCCAGGTGACCAGGGCGGTCCCTCTTCCTCTCTGATTACAGCTAAGTAGTTCAGGGAAATGGACCTGGGCTCCCCCTGGGTCTCCTGGATCAGGTAGCCGATGGATTAGTACCTAATCACCACTGTCCTCACCAGAAAACAACGGAAATTGTTCTAAACGCCTCTCCACTTACTGCCCTGCCTGGCGGGGAAGAAAGCTGTTAGGGTCCATTTTCTCTATGGTGAGCTCAACCTCTGGGGACTAAAGGGCAGCAGCGGGAGGGCACCCAGCAGTTCACTCACCCTTGCACCTGGCCTTCACCTGCTGTCCCACCGCTTCTCTAACGTGCAGAAAGGCAAAGCTATTAGAAACCCTGATCAAATACGGAAGCCTCAAAGGTGGTGTTCGTGCCTAGAAGCACAGCAGACCTGACATTGCAGTCTGAAGAACAACCTGAGCTCAGTTATTCATGAGTGGAGCAAGGATTTTTCACTAGAGTAAAACAAAAAAACAAAAAACAAGTTCCTTTAGCCACCAGTTTGACCTGTTTCCTACTCAAGTGTTTCATGTAGGCTGCTGAGAAGGGTGAAGATGACAAGCACAGGATCTAGAGCCAGACTGCCCCAGTTCAGTATTTGCTGTGTGAACTTGAGCAAGTCTTTTAAAGTCTTTAAGCCTCAGTTTCTTCATCTGTAAAATGGAGATAACTTTTGAACCTCTTCATAAGTTTGTTGTGCAGGTTAAATGAGATGGTCCATAGGACCTGGCATATAATTAGAAATTCAATCAGTGTATAGCTGCTAGTAGTAGTGGTAGTATTTTCATTTTAAAATAACTTCGACCTATATTTGAAATAAAAATTCCAACCATCCAAAAGAAACGTATGCCATAAGGCTGCCTCCATCCACTGTTCTAGAAACAGCAAAGCATTATGAATAAAATAGCTACAGCACATCTAATATTTTTTCGTGGTATTTCCAGGTCACGAGGGTCGAATTGGCATGGCCTCGATCAAGATGAAGGAAGGCCATGAGTTTGATGGAAAGAAGCTCTGTAAGCACATTGCCGACTACCTGCCTAGCTATGCAAGGCCCCGGTTTCTAAGGATACAGGTGAGACCTCTTGTTATCAAGTTCAATTCTCCTCTCTCATGGAGACCCCTGTCTCTTAGGCAACAACTCCCCTTCTAGCATGGCGACCACATTGGCCAAATTTTCACTACCCTTTCCAGGAAGCTCAACAAGGAAGCAGAAATATCAGAAAAATAGAACTAGCAGAAACGCAAATCCTTATCCCTTTCTCCCTAAAATGGACCAGGCCAGTTCATTCAGCAACAGTATTAGCAAGTAACGCTCAAAGTCTGTGTTTGGGGATATGTGACAGACACTTAAAACAGAAATGCTCCGGCCCTCCTATTTGTTGTTTCCAGTTTTGAAGAATGGAAAAACCCACTGACGTCCTAAGACCTTTCTATGGTGTGAAGTTCAACTGGGCATCATTAGCCACTTGGAACTACCAAAGGTTTAGCTCTTACCACTAGAAGGATTTTTTTCTTTTTCTCAAACATTAACCCCTAGGTTAGTTTAACACCATCACTTTTGGACTTTGAGCTCTTAGATTCTAAAGAGTTGAGAAGTGTTAGATTACCAGACCTTGCTGTGGCTACAAAATTGATGTTCATAAAGCACTGGCATTTGCTTTACAATGAGATCATAAAAATTGAAATATCCTCAGATCATCCCCTATTAATGGGAGAAAAAACAGATCTTCGGTCAAACGGACAAACAGGCTGAAAGAATAGAGTTGTCTGTGTAGATGATCACACCTTAATCAGGATATTCCAGTCATACCTAAAGCTGAAACTCACCAAGCAACAGACTCTGTGCTCCGTATTTCACTCCCCACAGGTGATCTTAAAGCTTTAAGGAAATGAGCCCTGGCCAGTGCCTATGTTGGTTGGAGCACTGTCCCGTACACCAAAAGATGGTGGGCTCAATCCCTGGTCAGGGCACGTACCCCCATGTTGCGAGTTTGATTCCAGTCAGGGCGAGTGCGGGAAGCAACCGATTGATATTTCTCTCTCACATCGATGTTTTCTCTCTCCCTCCCTCCCTCCTTCTCTTCCTCTCTCTCTAAAATCAATAAACATATCCTTGGGTGAGGGGGCAGGGGAGCTTTAAGGGAATGAAAATTACCTCCACAAAGGGCCCCCTAGTGGAGCTTCAGAAAACAGGATGTATCCATATCATACAAAATGCATTCACAGCTCTCAAAGGAGCCAGAGGTGCCAGCCTCACTGCCCCACCTCCACTCCTTTCCCTGCACCTGATCTGTTTGCAAAACACCGCAACAATGTGGGTTGTTTGATGTTTTTCAGGACACCATTGAGATCACTGGAACTTTTAAACACCGCAAAGTGACCCTCGTAGAGGAGGGCTTCAACCCTGCAGTCATCAAAGATGCCTTGTATTTCTTGGATGACAAAGCAGCAATGTATGTGCCTATGACTGAGGACATTTACAATGCCATACGTGCTGAAACTATGAAACTCTGAATATTTCCAGAAAGAAACTGAATGGATCCAACTTTAATTTGATTGAAGATTGTGGGGTGCATTTTTCATGCATACCAATAAAGGGAGACTTTTCTAAATTACACCTACACTTTTGCAAGTGAAAAGACTTAGAGATCATTATTTTTCAGTGTGCCCCTACTGTTTGTATTTGCAAACTAAGCTTGTTAGAGGGAGGGGAGGAAGGTGTGTTTTTTTTAATATGTAATAAAATAGATGACTGCCAGCATATGAAATGGTACTGTCCTTCCTTTATCCTGAGCCTGATAGTCCCATTGGTAACTTTTCACAGGTGCCTCACTCATAATGATAATGGCAATAGGTAATATAGGGCAAGGAGTTGGGAGGGGAGGGGTTGTGGATCACCAAGGAACAGCCCAATGGAAATCCCGCTCCAGTGTAAGGCTAACTCTCCCCACTGAATAGCACCTGGCCACTGTCTAAAACAGCGTTATCCAAAAGGTGAAACTGCCACCTGTATAGTTCTTAAAGAAGACTAAGCAACAGCACCAGTATTCGACACATAAAAGGTGTTAGGTTGATATTTTTTAGTCACATCAAGGATTGCAAACTCAAGTACCTTCAGGATTCACATTGGTAATGTGGATGAGAGAAGCAGGTCACAAATGAGTGGGGCAAACTTGAGGATAGCCACTACTCTGCTTCCGTTGGCTGAGTGTTGTCATGTGGGAACACAGCTCAGGCACTGCTGGAATCTTCTGATGATTCAGAAACTAGAAACCTGGGTATACATGTGACTCTCCCAATTTTTAAAATGGGAAGTCTCAAAATGTTTTTAATTTATATGCATCGCAAATGAAATATATCTGTGACCCCAGTAAATCCCAGGTCTCCAGTTAGCACCCCCGGTCCCACATGCCCCTCGGACCTACGCTGGTTTCATAGCAAAGCCAGTCTCCTGCCAGAGAGCCTATTCAAGGACCCTCCCCGCCCCCCCAGGCCCCTGCCTTTGATCTCCCAGGGAGAATTTGAACCCAAGTGATGGGAGTCCACATGACCTTGGTTTCTGAGACTATCACGTTGTGCAATGTATTACCTGGAATCCTGTTGAAGTGAATCTGGTTGAAAGCAACGACATCATGTCACCAGGGCCACCTTTTTGGAGGAAAGGTCAGCACTTACCCTTTTAGCCAGGACATGGTGTTCCAGGGACCAGAGCCAGCTGGGCCTGTCCACCTTTGGCATTTCAGACTTTCCAATTAGAAACTCTCTTTCCTGGACTGACGGTGAGGAGTTAGAGGGGATCAGGCAGTTTAGGGTAAGGGCCTCGTGGGTAGGGAAGATGGTAGATAAGGAGGAAATAAACCAGATAGTCAGGATGTGAACAAGATAGGCAGACTGTACCCACTTCCCCCTCGACCCAAGAGCGGGAACTAAATGTGGGGAGACGAGGGCTAAAGGAGATGCCTGGTGTTTCTTTGAGAGAGCCAACAGAGGGCAAAAGCAGGGACATTTAAACCCCTAGGCTTTGGTGGCTCTCTCCCCTTTACCCCCACCCTCCCCTACCTTCTCTCTGAGGTTTGACGGTCTGGTCGATGCTTCTCCGTCTCTGGATCTGTTTTTGTTCATCAGTTTATGTTGTTCATTATATTCCATAAATGAGTGAGACCATGTGATATTTATCTTTCTCCGACTGGCTTATTTCACTTAGCATAATGCTCTCCAGTAATCAATAAAGAAATTTAAAAAATTAAAAAAATAAACCACTAGGCTAGTGAGCTTCTGGTTTGGGGACCCTTCTCGCGTGTCAAGAACTTTGATACTTTCACTGTAATAAACTTCGCTTCCCTTTCCTTACCCCCTCCCTGCCATGAATTGTCCATGAATTCATTCATCGACTTCTTGAGACAAGGAACCCAGCAGCTCACACTCACGTCTCAACGGCTTCCTCAACCTTCCACTTCCCCAAACCTTCATGATTCTGGCCAGATATTGTGATGGGTAGAGGCACCTGCACAGATAAACAACTCTGAAGACTGATTTTTCTTTTCTAAAAGGGTTAGAAATTGTGCCCATAGAAATGTCGGAACAAATCATAATTTAAAAGTATAAATGGATATTTTTAAAAACAAAAGATCTCCGATTTCAAATATATGTTTGAAAACATGTAATCAGTGCATTTATCAGAGGCTATGGGCACCAAAATTGTGGAGAGTGGCTACAGTGTTTGGACAGGTTCAAGCCTCGGACTAATGAGAGGGCACGGTCCTCTCATGGCAAAGCCACGTGCAGGTCCCAGCTTGGAGGGCAAAGCCCTCCCAGCACAATTATAGCCAAAGTTATGGGGTGGGGCCACAACATTAGTAACAAAAAAACAGAATTTCCGGAGGATGGGGCCCAGAAATCAGGATTTTAAAAAGATTCCCAGGTGATTCTAATGTGCAGCCAAGGCTGAGAACCACTGCTATAGTTGTAAGCTTGACCTTATGGTCTGAATCTGTGGTCCTAGGTCCCTAGGAGGCTGAGTGATGTGGGCTTGATAGAGATCAGGTGCATGTAATTGAGTAGATTCAAAACCCACGAGAACATTGTAAACATCTTGACCCTGCCTTACTTTGCCTCGTGGAATCTGGCTATAAAATAAAGACTCAGCTTGCAGGCCGTGGTGCTGTCTCTCCATCAGAGAGGGCAGCGTCCCACCTAGCCCCAGCTTTATTCTCTTGTCTGTCTTTTCTAATCCTTCACCACACCCCCACCCCCCTCAGGTTCACCCATGGCCATGCTGGCGCCACACAAAATGATTTAGAGATAAACCAGGAAATATCAGCATATGAAATGGAAGCTAATGAGAACCAGTATAAAAATGGATACGATTAATCAAGTGCAGTGACCTACCCTAAGAGATGATTTGTTAGTGAGATGCTGGCTCATACATCCACTCTACAAGCGTCTAGTGCAGCCGTGGGCAAACTACGGCCCGCTTGAAATGAATAAAACTAAAAAAAAAAAAAAGACCGTACCCTTTTATGTAATGATGTTTACTTTGAATTTAAATTAGTTCACACAAACACTCCATCCATGCTTTTGTTCCGGCCCTCCGGTCCAGTTTAAGAACCCATTGTGGCCCTCGAGTCAAAAAGTTTGCCCACCCCTGGTAGTGGGTGCCTGCTATGGACTGAGAGATGAGTTCAGCACTAGTGTGACGAAGTTCTCCAAACCTCTATCTAGGAAGTCAGGCCAGACGTTCAAGAAAGTTGGCTGGGAAGACCCCTCAAAGGAAGGTCCTGGCCCTGCCGGTGGGGCTCAGTGGTTGAGCGTCGACCTATGAACCAGGAGGTCACAGTTCAATTCCCCGTCAGGATACATGCCTGGGCTGCAGACTCCATTCCCAGTAGGGGGCATGCAGGAGGCGGCCAATCAATGATTCTCTCCCATCATTGATGTTTCTATCTCTCTCTCCCTCTCCCTTCCTCTCTCTCTCTCTGAAATAAATAAAAATATACTTTTTTTTAAAAGGAAGATCCTGTTCTTGTGTTTTAACTTTTCAACAGCAATTGTTTTGTCATTGCAGTTGGTGGGGCTGCATGCAGTCTGTAAAGAGGCAGCTACCAGGGAGGACGCGTCACTGAGCATCACTCCAGCACTGTTCACGGGGAGGGGGGCTGGCTGGCCAGTGCAGGCCTCCTATCAGCGTGGCTGCTATCCCCCCAGAGCACACGAGGTGCCGTGCTGTAGAATGTATATGTCGCTGGTGGTCTATTCCATTATGATCGTCAATTTCCCTTTGCACAGATGTCATGCTTTTATGAAGCTGTATGCTCCATGAGGGCAGTTTTTGTTTATCTTGCTCATCATTATATGCCCAGTACCTGGCACACAGTAGACAATAAGTATTTGTTGCTTTTTCATCTAGCAACCCTGATAAATTATCTGGTTCCCCATGTAACTGTTGGGGGAGGGGGAGAGCAAGGGGAGGAGCAGAGAGAATAAATAGATGATCTGAGTTTTCTAGTTCACATGAACAGTGATTTTCAAGCTGGAACACTGAGATCACCTGGAAGTCTTATTAAAACACAGACTGCTGCGACCCATTAGAATTGGAATTTGCATTTCTAACCAATTCCAGGCTGTTGCCACGTTTTGAGAACCACTGACATAGAGAAAAAGCATCCAGAGTTACACATCGTGTGTGTTTAGTGTAATTCAGCTCCTCAGAGCAGGATGCTATTTTATTAACTGAGGCTCACATCTTCGATCTGGAGGGACTCAAAGTGCGGCCCCAGGAAAGGCCCAGCAGAAAGCTGCACTTTGTCACCTTTAGCCCACAATTGTTCTTGAAAACTCACATGGGCAGCACATATTTATTTTCTAGATATACAAACACATATTATTTGCTGTAGCAAAACTAAAAGCAAACCTCTTTATTTGATGAAAGAAAAACTGGCACCTGGGAGGTTCAGTGCATGCCAAAGTCGCACAGCCCATTGGCCCCACTAAGCTCCCCCCTGGCACTTACAGGAAGAAACATTTCCTCATAGACCAGTGGTTCTCCGTGTGTGGTTCCAATACCTGGAAACTTGTTAGACATGCAAACTATCAGGCCGTGCCCCAAACCTGCTGAATCAGAACCGCTGGAATGGGCCCAGCCATCTGTGTGTGAGCAAACCCTGCTGGTGATTCCGATGCAGCTCAACTAGAGAACCGCAGGCTTAGAGCCCTGCTTCCCAAGCTTTTGTGTGCAGAAGCAGCACCCGGGGATGCTTGTGGTCCACGCACCCCTCTTTGAGTAGCAAGGGACTCTAGAGCAGTGGCTCCCCAACACTGCGGCACCTTAGAACTATTTGGGGAGCTGTCAAAAATCCAAAGCCCAGGCCCACCCCATACCAATTAGATAAGATTTTTTTCTAGAGTGGGAGCCAGGCTTCAGTATTTTTTTCTTAGGGCAGGTCACTGCACTTGATTAATCTTATCCATTTTTAAAGATTTCAGGCGATTCCAGTATGCAGCAAAGTTCGGGGACCACTGATAGGGAACAGAGATCATGAAACGTTAAGCTCTCCGCCCCCCTCACCCCCAAGCTCTTGACAAAGATTCTCTCCTTGACCAAATTCCATGCCAGGCTCCTCGTCGCCCCCTTGTGGACATGGCCTCAACCTTGTCCTATAAAGAGATGAACAAACACTAAGTTTCTGACAGGTAAGGCCACCTTCCTAGGATGACCTGAGCCCCCTTAAAGTACCTGCCTGCAAAAATGAAAGGATGCCAGAAGAATTGACTG